AAGGGGTTTATTTAGGACGTCATGGAGAAAAAGAGGCATTTTGGTGTTTGTAGTAAGAAAGGTATGGATAAATGTGATGTTTTTGGTGTTTGGATTATTGTTGGCATGATTGGGGTCAGTGTCTGTGACTAGCTAAGTTTTAGATTAAGACAAGAAGAAGACCGTCATTCCCCATCCCCTTTTGGCCTTGTGCCGCATTTTGTATTTTATACAAATAAATAATAGTGTTGACTGGTTCACCGTGTTGGCCCGGTCTCATTCCTTATTTCATCTTCAGGTTCTGGAGGCACTTTACATCGGGTCCCGCAAGCCTTCTTTGTGCAAACAACGTGACTGTTTGCTGGGACTCACTGTCATCTGTCTCTAGTTCCTTCTGCATATATATAGATATATATATTTTTTTCCCCATTTGCTTATTGTACATTTTTCTGTTTTAATTTTGAATCTCCCGTTGAAGCCTGAAGAGCGGGAGCGAAACCGGTTCCTTCGCCCCCGTGATTGTGTTTTTTTTTTTATATTTTTGTGTTTAATATGTTTTGTAATATTATCTTTTATACTTTTATTTCGATCATTAAATTTTGTACCTACAAAAATCTTTATATATATATATATATATATATATATATATATATATATATATATATATATATATATTTATATTTTGGATTCGAAATAATTTTACAAACTTTGGGATAAATAGCTCAAACCAAAACAGGGGCAAAACATAAGTCCGCAAATCCTACGTTTTTGAGTTATTAAGTTTAAAGAAAGCTTACTATCGATGTATAAAGCCCTGCTTCATATAAATTATTATAGATTGTTTATTAAGACACTTTTCTACAAAATTTTCGTTAAGGTGTAATTTCAAATCACCCTGCCAACTTCATTTTTCGTGTGCATAATAATTACACAATACATAATATTTATTAATATATAATCGTTTCTTTATATATACGATAAAAGATGATTATTAGTGTGTTATATTTAACAATGTTCATAGCAAATAGTTGCGCGTAAATCCTGACAACCGAACACAAAAGTTAAGATTCCTTGAAAGTAAAGAAATATCGAGCGTGAATTGTGACAGTCTGGGTAGTATTCATTTAGAGTATTTAAAACGCAGTAAATACTAAATGCACATCCACATGTTCAGCAGTAGGAACGTGTCCAGGAAGATTTGGTTAAAAGTGCCAATAAGGGAATTGTTTTTTTTTTTTCTTTCTTCTCCACCACAACAACGCAAGTCCGCATAGAGCAGGTATAAAACAAGGAAACATTTAAGAATTGGTCAGTTTTATCTCACCCGCCATTTTACGGGACATTGTACAAACCGATTATCACGGTCGCTGTAAAACACTTATTCTCTAATAAAAGCCAAATTTTTAATGGTCGTCGAAATATCTTTCACAAAATTCGGTCTACGAGTTGCCTGATAAATTTAAAAAATGTCACTACAAATAATGGTAATCAATTGAATAAAATGCAATTGCACTTTATGTTTGGAAAAATGGTGTTGATAAACGATTAAAGAAATTATTTATGAACCGCCCTAACATTTTACAGATTATTGCATATACAAGTTGGCACAAGAGAAATATATCGTTCGTGGTAATGGGTACCACTATAGTGCCCACGTTAGCAATCCTTTGTTCTTCAAAGAAGGAGTTCAAAACCTTTCCCTGTAAATACATTTACAACTACTGTTAAAAGCGAGGTGCGTTTAGTGGAATTCCTTCCTTTAACTTTTGTAACAGAGCTGCTTATCTATTGCAACATCGCTGCACTTGTGGGCGAGGCAAAATGATGAATTAGATTTCTTTAAATAAAGACCGCTATAAATCATTGATTGTCTTTTAGATAAAAACAGAAAGGTAAAATAAAATAAATAAAATAAAAGAAAGTGATAAAGACAATGTTTTACAAATGACAGAAAATAATAAGGAAAATGTAACAAAATTTAAAGGAAATTTACTGGTTTTACAGTTTTTGTAAAAGTTGAATTTTCGATTTGATTAGAAAATAAAGAATACGCCCAAGAAAATACTCCGATTAAGATATTATTATCGATCAATTTCAGATTTATATAAACACAAATAAATCTTCTTTTACGTGACGTGCTGTTTCTGAACTGGAGGTGACCACGGCTCTCCGCAACTTCCTGTCAGAGGTCGATTAATGTAAATTTTGACGCATTAATATCCTTTCCACGATTTGCCATTCATTCACAAATAGTATATATTCTTATTTCTTTTTTTTTTTCTCTTTCTGCCTTTCATATCTCCGGGGAGTGTTACATTTTCTAAGTCTTCTTTCCTCATGTGTGTACCGTAAATTGAAGCTGTCCCTTTATGATTTTAGTTATAGCTTCGGATGCACATTTTTCTGGGTTATCAAGACTTTATGACTTTAAGCGAAGTGCTAGATTTACAGGTGAAATGGAAAGATGTAACCGTAAGTTCTATGCAAAGAGTTCCTTCTCTCGCACTTCTCGCTTGTGGAACTCTCTTCCGGCTTCCTAGTCAACTTTCATCTTCAAATATTTAAATGCAATATCAATCGTCATCTTCTGCCTTCTGAAGTCTTTTTATGGATCTTTCTCCTAATAGTGTTTTTTTTCGCATATTCTCTGCCATTTAGGAACCCCTTTCATTTTAATGGCTTTATTGCCTTTCTTGGGGTAGAATGATTAAAGATATAAGGTTTCTTGCTAGTTGCTCTTTCCATTAAACCTTACTCGCTGCTAAATGTCTCCCGTCTATGATATTTAACATATCCTTCTGTAGAAGCACATCTCTGTCCTTTCTAGTCTCAAACTGGAATAAAATGTTCATTTTACTGCTATAGGAGGAGAGATGTGACGCAGTATGGCAGCAGACTTTTCTTTGTTTAGAATGAAATTGTTCTATCTGTAAATAGTATGTTTTCGTACTAAAATTCATCTTTCGCTCTACATTCGGACTTCTGTGCACAATTTACCATCGAAAAAATAACGACACGCCACCACAGTTATGTCCTGCTAGGCCATCTACTTCACTAAGTCTCGTCTCGTCATATTGTTTGAATGAATCTGTGGATAAGATGACTCTTTGTCTTATCCTTCTTTTGGGTTTATCAAACATGCTTAACACCTAATTCAGTGAAACGGCAAGTGCGACGCTGAGATCCGAAGATGTATTGGGATGGCCAATGACGCATTCCCAAAGGTAGAGAGGGTATTACGAGACAGGCGCATTTCGTTGGTAACAAAGAAAAGATTACTAAGTTGCTACGTGACATCTATCCAAATTTACGGCAGCGAATGTTGGACAGTCTCCTCAAGGATGAAGAAGTGACTCGAGGCGGCGGAGGTGTGTTTCTAGAGAAGGATGCTCAGGCTATCATGGACCGAGCGTGTGAGGATTTGGAGAGGATACAAATAAGGAGGAAGCTTATAATTAGACAGGAAGAAACAATGAAATTTCTGGGACACCTAATGAGAAAAGAAGAATTGGAGAATATGATACTCATATGTCGAACATGGCCTGGAGGAAGTAGCAAATGGAAAAAAAAAACTTTTTGAGACTACAAGGAATAGAGGTATGTGGAGAGCCCTGATCGCCTACGTCATGAAGGGACATAAAAAGAAAGAATATTACGGATTGATTAAACATATTTTCAAAGATATAAGTTTTTTTGTTTAATAGCAGTTCAATAAGATCGCTGTGTGTTATGAAATACCTTTATGTAATCTAAAAAACATATTTATAGGTTTTACTACATTTGATATGTCTATTTTGATTATAAATAGAAAATCTGTTCTTACTGTGTCTTAAACGTAAGTATGTTGATAGAAGTAAAACGTAGAAGAAACGCAAGGTTCAGATACTCCTGCCCTACTTTGGACTTTGAGGAAGAAGGAAAAAAAAAGCAAACAAAACAAGACCGATAATATGATATCTATATATTAATAACAAGTTACAATACAGGAAACAGTTTGTGTGTGAATATTCTGTGTGTGCGTGCGTGTGAATATTCTGTGTGTGCGTGCGTGTGTGAATATTCTGTATGTGAATATTCTGCTAAGCGTGTTTCCACGCTATTCCCTTTGTTACGACATTTCGAGGTTGATAGTTGAAATCCTCTGGGGATAAGAGAAATTTACCTCGAGGTGTTGGTGCTGAAAGGAAAAAAGAGATCGAGCCGAAGGGTCATTGGTTTATAGCCAGGAAAAGACCCTGGTGAAATCAACTTTTAGGAGTTAACTCCACAAAGTAATCTGTTCTTGCCCTGCTTCAGGACTGATTCTGTTATGGAGTTTGCATTGACAGGAATCACCCCGTCATCACGTTAAACTAAATCAGGCAGCAATTTCTCAGATCGGGTGTTTGGAAGCGTGATATCGTCAACCCTGACCTGAAAACTTGGGACAAAATATAAATAACCCCAAAAACTTGAAAAATAATAAAAAATTATAGTAAAAGTACCAGCAATACATTTCTGTAAGGACAAAAGCATATTACCAGCAATTAAAAAATCTTATAGTAAAAATAATAGCAATACATTTTTATAATTAAATAATACCAGCAATATATTGCTGTAAAATAAACTAGTAATGGAAAATTAAATTTCTACATTAAATGACTAATAAGGAGTTGATATGCCGCTAAACAAACAAAAATGTATCATCTTTGCTCTTCTTGTATTTCACCATTGTCTTATATGTCTTTTATATTTCAGTATCATTGTTTCTAAATCATTCTTAAATGACAGGATGTCTATTATGATCTCATTTGGATTTGCTACTCTGTTTCTGTCCATCTCGGCTAGTTCCGACATTAGCCTTAAAGTCGTTCCATATATTTATATCTTGTAGCTTCCGTTAATTTATTGCTCTTGCACATGTCTTCGGAGTATACTCTTTATCTTTGTGCAGTTTGTCTACTGTATTATGGCCGTTGTCTTCTTTTTAGATTTTAAGAGTGATTTCGTGAACTTTGACCTGTTATTTCTGTTAATATCTTATGCCGGCATTCTGTGCCTACGTTTCCTATCTATCTATCTATCTATCTATCTCAGTCTATTCATATCTATCTATCTCTCCCAGTCTATTCATATCTATCTATCTATATATCTATCTATCTATATCTTCCTATCTCTACCTATATGTCTATCTCTCCACACATGTCCGTGAACCATCCATATTTTGCCTGAGTGTACTTGTACCTCATTTTCATTTTCTTGGTTTCTTTTCAGAGACACAGTCAAGACAGGATTTAATTCTTGACAATGACTGAAATCATTCGAAATTTCAAACAATAAGTCGGACTTTGGACAGAACCTACATATTTCCAATCTTCCTATATGTTCATAAACAGATTAGTTAGAATAAATATATAAAAGAGGCCAAAATCTCTGTATTTTATTTAACATAATATACTTCCTAAATACATGCAATATATACACCCCCCACATTAACTTAAAAGCCGATTGATGGGACCGCATTTAAGCTAACTCATGCGGTGTGCTCTTGATTGGGCCTTCACCACAATAATTAGGGAGGACTAGACTAGGCAACAATAAACTAAAGAAGAACTCAAAACTGATCGTTGCATTTAAGTATTGTAATATTATTTAAGCTTACCTTTTCAAAGTTCAACGATAATTCTTCTGCCGCTAGTTGATTTAAAGACAAGTTGATGTACGTAGGTCTTCAACTCCTTCTCAAACAATTATTGTTAATTCATTATTTACATTATTCGGACTGTTGTCATCTTTGTCGCCATATTCATCACAACTTTTCGGCCGTTGTACGCTCCGGTATTCTTCAGTTGGTGGGAAAGTCGAACTTAACCCTTTATTTAACTCACTCGGGTAGACTGTTCTAGTTCCACGTGCCATGTTTAATAGATGTCAGTTATCAGTTATCTCCTGTTAATTTCCCTCTGAAAGTTCTCCATTGCCTTAACCGAGTATTGAACTCACACTCTTTGGGGCCTATCACTGGATCTAACCAACGCCTTTATCCACTGTGACATGTGTCCTTGAGGAACTAGAACAGTCTACCCCAGTAAGTGAAATAAAGGGTTAAGTTCGACATTCCAACCACCTGAAGGAGACCGGAGCGTACAACGGCCGAAACGTTGCAATAAATATGGCGACAAAGATGAGGACAATAGTCCGAATAATGTAAATAATGTACATAATACCTCATCTCAGAAATATAGACATATATATTTAATTCATGGGTAACTTTCGTTGGATTTTGGAATTAATTTTGATTATTCCCAAATTTATTTCCATGTTATAAAAAATTGTTATCGTACAAAAAAATTCATTGTAAAAAATCACGTAAAAAATCGCCGAAAACAATTGAAGAAATGAAAAATTGGGAATCCAAAATTTCAGGAATACGGGTCCGGATACAGGCCCGACTGTTTTTAATTTGCTCTCGGAGTCGGCCTGATTCCAAAATGGTATGATATGTTGGTCTACGACCCCTGGGAGCAAAGTTGAAAAGGTGTGACACAGTGACACATTGACATTTGTATTTATTTATATGGAAAAAGTACAGTACATGCTTCTCAAGGTACAAGCGGGATGAATGATTCTTGCAGTTGCTCTTGGAACAGTTTAAGTAATGTGCTTTTCTCATATGTTAAATAAAGGAATAAATTTGAAAGTGTGTGTCACCCTGATATCAGCATTTAATTTCATTCTCTATTCATTTTACTTTACTCTCTCTCTCTCTCTCTCTCTCTCAGTATATATATATATATATATATATATATATATATATATATATATATATATATATATTCATCCTTCTTTTCCCTCTTCGAAAATTTGAATATTATGATTTTGGTGATTTTTTTCTGCTTCATACAAACATTGAGCGTTACTTTTTAGACGTTAGAGTGATCTCTTCTACAAGATGTGAACGTTGGAACTTAACTAAGTTAAATCTTTATATTTACCCTCCCGATTCCTTATCCATAGACCTTCCGACTCATATGCTTCTCTATCCGTCTAGAATACACCATATGGGCGGCTGTATTGAATGCTCAAGAACATCCTTTTACCCTCTCCTCCCAGTGTGCCTCTTACACCTCTTGCCCACGAGTGATCGATACATACCTAACTCGCACCTTGGCTCACAGCCCACCTCGGTTCTTCAGTTGTGTTTTCAATAACGTTGTTGTTGTTGTCGTTGTTTTTTTATTTGTTTTCTTTATTTCATTTTTTATAAGAGTAGATAGGCTATCCATTAGCCCGGGTAATACCCACTTCCTTTGAACGAGAATAGAGGCTCTTCTCTTGTTTCCTGTTTGAGAAGAGGTTTCAGGATCCATTCATCTTCTCTGGCTTTAGAAGTAGTGCTGTCGTGAATCTCTTGCGATGTGTGAGGTTTGTGGCAACGTTTTTTCATGCTGAGGGTACCGGCTTCGTAGTTTTCTGGTTCCTGTTCCTGACTGGTATTTAGAAGCCCTAACTCTTGCGTAGCGTCTTGAGAAGCTGCTCTGATCAACAATTGAATAATATCTGCCTTCTTACAGTGCCATGTGGCTCACGGATGGGTGTCCCTGCATGCACATCCGGTGGGCAACACCTAGGCCGCATTATGTTACAGTCTGAACCAGTTCCTTTCTGATCATGCCATATTTGATGACCGACTTCTATAACTTTAAACATTTTCCTTACCAACGAAATTCAGCATGACGTTAAGCAACCAAAAATATAAGATTAAACCACCTCAAAAAATTGTCTAAACCCTTTGTCATTTCCTTCTCCTACATCTATGTTCTTCGTGCCAACTCCTGCAGTATGAAGTCGTTCCTATTTGATAAGACTCTTGATATATTAGCTGTCTGCGTGATTAACCTTAACCGGCTAAGGTGCGAGTTATGTATGTATCGATCACTCGTGGGCTAGAGGTGTAGGAGGCAGGAGAGGACAACAGGATCTGCTTGAGCCGCCCATATCGTATATTAATTATGGATAAAGGAGAAGCATATGAGTCGGAAGGTCTATGGATAGGGAGTCAGGAGGTTAAATATAAAGTTTTATCTTCGTTAAAGTCCAACATTCACATCTTGTAGAAGAGATCACTCCAACGTCAACTACAAGAATCATGCATCCCACTTGTACCTAGAGAAGAATGGACTGTATTTTTGTATATAATCTGTCTATATTTCTGAGATGAGGTATTATGTACATTATTCGGACTGTTGTCCTCATCTTTGTCGCCATATTTATCACAACGTTTCGGCCGTTGTACTCTCCGGCCTTCTTCAGGTGGTTGGAATGTCTAACTGAACCCTTTATTTCGCTCACTGGGGTAGACTGTTCTAGTTCCACGTGCCATGTTTAATGGATGTCAGTTATCAGTTATCTCCTGTTAGTTTCCCTTTGAAAGTTCTCCACTGCCTTAACCGGGTATTGAACTCACACTCTTTGGGTCCTGTCACTGGATCTAACCAACGCCTTTATCCACTGTGTCATGTGTCCTTGAGTGTGAATTTCATCTTGAATTCTAAATGGCGAAATGTCTACTTGCTCAAGGTCACTGTCTCGCAGTGTTGCCACTTGATCATGTCTGGCAATACGCACTTCAAAAATTCCTATTTTTTGGGTCACCCTGTATTTCTGTTCCTAATTCATTCATACATTGTACCCCTTTGGGTGTTAGTGGCTTTACATCCTTGTATGAAATGATAACGATTAAAAAATGTATTCTGATCAATTTGTTCTCGAAATGTTATCATCGCTATTTTCTGTGCCGAGAAATTTGGTGTACGACATTACTGTTTTCCTTATCCTACAAGTTATTTCTGGCTCGTTTTGATTTGTGCTTTGTGTTGCCGTATATGCTTTAAAACATTAGTATTGTTTCTCAAGAGATAATGGATTTTAAAAAATTATTACTTCATACGTTATTCTCAGTGGATAGCCGTATTTGATTAGGACTTCACGTTTTCTAAACAATGTTTATTTGGTCTGCCGGCCTGCACAAACCGAGAAAACCTATAGGGCACAATTTCATCAATTTTCGTTGATGAGAAGGCTGGTAAACAAAATAAACACTGTTAAAAAAATTACGTTCTGCTCAAATACTGGTCCCCACTAAAGAAATGTAACAAAAGTTATAATATTTTCTGCTGTTAAATGATGATTTATGGGAGCATATTTTTTTGTCGGGGGTACATTCTCTCATTATTATATATTTTCCGGTTTTCCTTTCGACTGTAGCTTCGTATATTACATTATTTTTAGACAGTTCCCGTTTAGCGGGTCGTCATATATTATTTCTTCACTATGACAAAAATATCCTCTATAGTTGTATCCTTACATACATTAATATATTCTAATAAAAATCGTTTATCTTGGACATTTTCATTTTGTTCTTAAATATATTGTGAATAATAATGACAAAAACCTTACATGATACAATGAATATATCAGATTGAACTTAAATCTACATATAATTGCACCACATACGCCAGGAATTAAAGTCACAGTTATTTAACTGACCAGTGAGTTAATCCTCTCGGCCATGGACAATTAAAATAGGATTGAAGACGATACAAATATACTTAGACTCAGTGAAAACCGTGCTAGTAATAATAGAACAATTAGGCAAGACGATATGGCCAAACTAATAAGAATTTTTAACTTAATAGATTGAATAAAGTCTTCTCTGGATCGACTGGCACTGGAAGAAGTCCGAAGGGCACAACGGCCGAAATTAAGTTTCTCATAGTAAGGAGAAAGGTGAAGACATATTAACAAATCCAATTCGTGTAAATAACGATAACTCGTCATCGCTGAATGTAAGGCGGAAATTAACCAAACACAATGTTTGTTTAATTTTCAGTTCACAATAATATTTATATAAGCACTCGGATCCACAATTATTCCTACCCAATAGCCTATAGAATAATTCGAAACGAAACCATTACCGCCTACTCAATAACCGTGAGGATAATACAATAGCTTTGATTACCCAGAAGGCGCTATTAACCAGCATATATACATAGTCGAACCAAGACACAAAACACATGACCTGATGATTTGTTCAAGCATGAAACAATGGGTTAGCATCCATATTTCCATATTCTCAGGAGATCCCGAGAGGATGTGGAGAATGAGATGGCCATCAAGACGGATACAGGGCTTTCGACCAAGGATACACCCGGAATACGAAAGTGAAATGCATCTGTGGGAAGGAATGTAAAACTCCGCGTGATCATAAAATCCACCAGACCAGAATGAAATGTTTAAAAAGAATGAAGCAGTCACAACGTACAGGTAAATTCCCTGGTGTGACGGAGGAGGAACGTGGCTAGGCCACACACCGCGGAGCCGAGTGCCTCCATGTGCTGTTCTCTTGAGCTTTTGACCAGAAATCGGATTAAATGGCCCACTGCACATCAGGAGGAAGAATGGCAACAGTTTGACCAGGATGTGAGTGATATTATAAGAACGATATTAAAAGGAGACGAAGATTATATACAATGACGATTATTATCATTAGTTATGCGTCAGAGAGATTCGGTTATGTTCAAAAGGAAAACAAGAAAGATCCCAGAATTGACTGCCGGGAAATGAACTCCGAGATATACTGAGGAAAATATTTAGAACTGTTCGTAGAGCAGAGAAAGTCACAGAAAACGTGCGTAAGAGGGATAAAGGAAAAGATCTGTCGTTATTTCAAACCCTTTTGCGAAGAGATTCCTCGGAGACAAGAAGAATGGTTACGGTCATGGTTAGTGTACGGCGGGAGAAATAAATCATTTCCTACGAGAATCACTCAGTGCCCAACAGACGGAAATCTTTTAAGAGAAAAGAATGTTATAGTGCACACTGAATTGCCAGAAACAGATTTTGACTTGAGGGCACCGTCCTTGAAAGATTTAAAGGAGATTATATATGCTTCGGCCCCATGATTCAGCGGTGATCTTTATAATGCCTATAAGTCGTAATATTCAATTATATCTCTGGAAAATATTATATGCTATTTGGAGAAGAGATAATGTTACAAGACAGTAGAGGTTTGTTAATGCAGTATGGATTCCTAATGAAGGAAACTCAATAGGAATTGAACATTATTTCTTTGCTGGACACTGAGAACAAAATCTTCTCCAGCATCTTGGCGCAACGACTTCGGCATTATCAAGGTGCCAACAATTATATAGACACTCCAGTACAGAAGAAAGAGCTTACCGATATCCCAGGTTGTCTGGAGCATATGTGCGTGATAATGCAGCTCCTAAGAGAAGCAAAATAAGGGAGAGTCGATCTAGTCGTACTGTGGATGGGCCTTGCTAATGCATATGGATCCGTTCCACACAAATTGATCGAGGAAACTCTAGGAAAAGTGCCTGTCCCTATTTGTGTATGAAATCTAATACAAGATTGTTATGATTTTAACATAAAACAACCACTGATTTTATATCTTCCGATTGGCATCGACTAGAAAGAGGAATTATTACTGGATGCACTATCCCAGTGATATTATTTACCTTAACCATGAGCAGGTAAGTAAAATCAGCAGAAGTTGTGTATCAAGGTCCAGTGACGATAAACGGCATACGATGACCCCAAATTTGTGCATATATGGATGACATGACAGTTACAACATCCACAGTCCCTGGATGTTGGTGGATATTGCAAGGGTTAGAAAAGAAAATGACCTGGGCACGAATGAAGTTCAAATCGACAAAATCGGGGTCATTAATACTGAAAAGAGGAATTCTGATAGAAAAGTTCCGTTTCAAAATTGCAGGAACTATTATCCCGTCACGTAAAGACAAACCAGCTAAATGTCTGGGAAAAAAATTTAATGCTAATTTAAAAGATATTGAGTCTACCTAGAAATGCTTTTGAGACCCCAAAGAAATGTTGAGCAAATTGAACAAATCCGGACTGCCAGGCCGTTTTATACCATGGATATAACAACATACCATTCTGCCAAGGATCCTGTGGCCCCTGATGTATATGAAGTGGCATTGACCACACTTGAGAAGATGGAGAAAAACTGCAAGGCATCGCATGAGCTCAGAAGAAGGTTTGAGGCAGAAAACGCTAGTAGGAACGGAGGCAGTAGGCAGATCAAGCCTAGGTTACTGTTCCAATCCTCGAAAGAGGGGAAAAAGAAAAGAACAGAAAT